ACATCAAAACATGATTATTATTATGTTAAAAGTGTTTTAGTGTAGGTTTCTTTAGGGTTTTTTATGCACAGAAAGGTCCACTATATATATTATATCCTAAGACAAACATTTGACTAACTGGCATTCGATATGAACTATACCTAACTGTTTCGACTTAGGTATAAATTCGACTTAAAGACAGACTTAAGAACAGGGGTCATTTGTAATGATTTCGCAGCATCAATGCCACTGGGAATGAATCCGTGCTTCACAACTCTTCATCCATCGAAGGCCCTCTTTGAACTGGGTAATTATAGAAGGGTGGAAAAAAAAGAAAACAACACTGAAACATGTTTTAGTGCTGCCTGAGAGTTCTTATTAATGTTACCTTTGAAAAGATGAATTACGTTACCCCTAAAGACTGCAATAAAGTATTATGTAACTTCTTCATTAAAAAGGACTTTCATAAACGTTGATCCCCTCCAGCCCTCCCCAAAGCCTTCCTTTATTTCCATCATTACATCCATTGTGATGTTTAATGTTTATATACTGACATGTTTAATGAATCCAATCCATGTGGCACCCTCCTGCTTCACAAAATTTGTCATCTCTCTGTTGCTGGGATTTTGAACATGTGATTTAATTATTCTAGCTCTTGGGGTAAAGCATGTTGGCCATGTGCCGTAAGACTCCAGCAAGGTTTGAACGGCACCTCTTTTCAAACTCAGTGTTTGAAAGATCGGTGCAGGGTGCCCTGCTGCTACCAGAGAGTGGGAGACTGAGCGGCTTTGCTCAGACTTGAGCTCGCAAATCCCTGTGTGTCCAGCTGCATGGAACAGAGCTACCGATCCCACAGGAACTTCCTCTACAAATGAGAAAGGATGGCCTCGGCTGACTCCTCTGTGCACGGGAAAAGCTGCTGCACATGCCTGATCATGTCACTATCAGGCCACATCAAGAGAAGACGCGTACCAGATCATCCGGAATGAAGGCAGTAACCATGCTGCCTTCGCCTGCACTGGCGGATCACACCTGGAATAGCACGCCATGAGTGCGAAGCCCCAGGCAACCAGAAGCCCTCCAGGAGCATGGAAGCCATGACAGACGAGCTCCAACATTGGAAGTAAAGGTGGAGATGCCCCATAAGTGAGTGAAGAGGCCGTGAACGCCCCAGTCTGGAGACGAGATGATCCTAGGGACAAACATCCCCTCTTGCAACCGCTGAAGGCTTGTCATGAGACAAGGAGGAGGCGTGTTCTGTGCCCCTCTAAAGAAGGACCCACAGGAAGAGTAGTCTGATGAAGGTGTCTCAGGATGGCCCAGGCCACTTCAAGCGCCAGTGAGCTCCTGGCCGCTGGCATTGTGAATACAGATATCGGAGAGCCCTTTGTCGTTAAGCTTCGGGCACCCATGTGGGGCAGGAAATGGACCAAGTTACTTTTAGTTCCCTTCAAAAAAGAAAAAGTAAGCTAATTAAGCCAATAAGTATTTATAAAGGGCCTATTATGAAGGCTATAAGGAGTCCTGCTGGTGTAGTGGGTGAGCACCCAGCTGCTAAGGAGCAGGTCAGCAGTTTGAACCCACCAGCCGCTCCACAGGAGAAACATGAAGCAGCCTGCTTCCATAGAGATCGACAGTCTTGGAACCCTATGGAGCAATCCTACTCTGTCCTATTGGGTCGCTATGAGTCAGAATCGACTTGCTTTTTTTTGTGTGTGTGTGTTTGTTTGTTTGTTCTAAATGGAGGCAGTAAAGGAGTCCCTGAGTAGCCCAAATGATTAAGTGCTGGGCTACAACAGAAAGGTTTGTGGTTCAAAACCCCTCAGAGGCACCTTGGAAAAAATGCCTGCTGATCTGTGTCCGAAAGCTCATAGCCACAAAAACCCCGGGGAAGGCCTGTCTACTCTGCAGCTTGGGGAGTCTCCATGAGTTGACAGGAATCAATGGCAATGGGTTTCGGTTTGTGTTGGGTTGTGTTTGATGGAGGCATGGTGGTTCCGTGTGGGAGACCCAGGTTCCATTCCTGGCCAATGCACCTCATGTGCGGGCACCACCCATCTGTCAGTGGAGGCATTTCTCAGATGCGCAACACATTTCAGGGGAGCTTTCAGACTAAGACGGACTAGGAACATGGGCCTGGCGGTCAACTTGCAGAAACCCGCCAGTGCAATCTCCACGGTTCCTAATGGCCCGATCACAACTGACCTGGGGACGGCAGAAGACAGGGCAGCGTTGCAGTTGCTGTGCGTGGGGCCACGGTGAGGTGGGGCTCCGACTCCACGGAAGCTAACAACGTATGTTTAGTGCCAAGAAGCAGTTGGACTGTCCACGTGCCTGAAAATAAAGTCGCTTTGTTTTTCCCCATCAGGAGATGAGCCCTTCCTGGCCTCCTCCTCTCCCTGCCACGCAAACTCCTGGAAACGCTGAGCAGGGCACATTTGCCATCCCCGGACAGGTCAGTTACCTTGCTTCCTCTGCTTGCCTGTATTTTAATGATCTGTGTCTTCCAATTGGATTCTAATTGGAATCTTCAGAAAATCTGGATTCTCCCTTGCCCCTCAGGATGGCAGTAGACATATGATTATTTATTGAAAGAGTAGATGACTCAGAGGGGAGTGAAGGCAGTCCTTAGGAAAGGCCATGTAGATGATACAATAACAACATCCAGGATGTTTTTCATTTAAAAAATAGTCTTTTCACTCTAATGGGTCTAGTTTCACTTTGTGTATCACTGTCCAGTGATACGCAAGGAGACAGATTTTAACACGCCAATTCCTCACACTAACAGAACTTTTTCTTCCACAATTCTGGCATCAAATGCTTAACACAATTTTTCTCTTACTTGTTCCTGGTAGGAATTTTTCTTATTATTTTTAAATGTCTAAATAGATATGGCTATTCTCATAACACACTTTAAAAGAAAAAGTCTTCTTTCTTTCCTTCCATCCATCCATCCATCCGTGTGTCCATCTCTCTACCCATTCAATCATCCATTTGTTCAGAAACCACTTATTGAGGACAGAGCACCGGTTGCCATGGAACTGATCTTGCCTCACGGCGGCCCCATGTATCAGAGTGGAACTGTGCTCATTTTCAGAAATGAATCTCCAGGCCTTTGTTCCCACCTCTAGGTGGACTTGAACCTGTCCATTTTTAGTCAGCAGACAAGTTTGTCAACATTTTTTCCCACCCAGGGACTCCTACTGAGGACATGTTGTTGTTGTTGTTATTTGCCATCGAGTCGGCCCCGACTCATAGCGACCCCTCCTTGGGTTTCCGAGGCAGTTATCACTACGGAAGTAGGATTGCCCAACCTTCCTTCCGAGGAGTGGCATAAACGGACCTAAATCACACTTGTTGCCACCGAGTCAGTTGCAATTCCAGGGTTTCCTGGGCTGTAACGTTTATGGCAGCAAATCAGCAGGCCTTTCTTCCACCTTGCTACTGGGTGGGTTTGAACTGCCAACCTGTAGTTTAGTAAAACCACTGGCCGACTGTAAAGGGGTTGGTTGATTCCAACTCCTGGTGACCCTATAGGACAGAATAGAACTGCCCCAGAGACTGAGGACCTGCAATGGGCTTAAAGTGAGAGATGAAGAGAAGCTCTCGTGTGTGTTATGAGGTAAACCACAAAGCAATGTAGGAGCCATCTGCACAGAGAATAAAAGGCCCAGAAAAGTGTCCAGCACTCCTCTGAGGAGCTGAGGAAGTGCTCCTGGAGGTGGCAACATTTGGAGGACGGTGAGGACCCTGACCAGTTTAGAAAGGCCCAGGAGAAGAGCAGCCACGCGGAAGCACAGCCCTGAGAGGGGAGGGGTCTGGTGTGAGGCAGTCTGGTATGAAGTCCTGAGTGGCTGGATCAGAGTTCCTGGCATGGGGAGTGGAGAGGGAGGAACCCACTGGAGTTAGGTGCATCTCTGTGAGAGACCTTGAATGCCAGCCCAAGAAGTTGGGACTTTATGTAGGAAGAGAGACACCCAATCAGATCCTTTCGTCTTTACTGTTGTTGTCAGTTGCTGTCAAATCATCTCTAAGTCATGCCAACCCCGTGTACAAGCAAAACGTTGCTCAGTCCTGCTCCATCTTCACAATCCCTGGTCTGCTGGAGTCAGTGCTGTCAGCACTGTGTGTTCTGAGTGCCTGCCAGCTGAGGGGGCTCATCTTCCACATGATCTGTCGGGTTTTGATGAGCTAATAACTCATCTCTTAGCTGGGTGATCCTGAACACGTGACTTAAGTACTCAGAAAATGTCAGCCTCTCCCCCCTGCCAGAGTTTGGACAATGGAAAGAGTGCTATTTTAGGAGCTAGGGGCTGGGGTGCTTTTAGTCCTAGCTCTGCCATTTGCTGGCTTTGTGTTCCTGTTCTGGTTCCTCTGAGCCTCAGTTTCTTCGTTCTGGACTAAGAGTTAGAAGATGGTGTGAACTCTAGGATCCCAATAGATTTTTCGTTTCAAATAGACTATGATTCTGTCATCTTTGAAAAACAGAATACAGTGGAACATTGTCAACTCCCTTCAGTGTGTTCATGTATCCCGGGTTGAATATGGCCTATTTTCTCTTAGAAAATGGAAAACCTCACAAGGTAGGGAGTCCCTACTAAGCAGAATCCGGGGAGCTAATAAGGCTCTCAGAGTAAGTCCAGAAAGGTGTCCACGAGGACCATTCTCTAGAATGGCAAGTGATGACGGCACTAGGATTTTTGCATTTTTAGCTAAAAATCAAAAGAAAAAATTATTTCATATTTCATGAAAATTATTTGAAATTCAAATCTCAGTGTCTATGAATAAAGTTTTATTGGCACATGGTCACTCCCATTGGTTAACTTATTGTCTGTAGCTGCTTTCATGCTGCAACAGGCAAGCTTAGCAGTTGTGACAGAGACTGCATGGGCACAAACCTGAAAACATTTATTATGCGTCCTCTACAGGAGAAGTTTGTGGACCCTGGCTCTAGAATCTAGATCCTACAAACAAAACAAAATGAACAAACAAAAAACAGTTGACACGTGAAATAAGTCAATCGCAGAAGGACAAATGTTGTATTAGTTCATTATTGTAAAAAGTCAAGGAAAGGTTTATATATGGAAGGAAACTTTCCTTCGTTGGTTACCATGGGTGGGATGGGAGGGGAGGAAACACTGAAAAAAAAAAAAAAAAAAAACACCAGTTGGCACCAAATCAGTGGCTCTCCCATGGCAACCCCATGTGTGTGACAGTGGAACTGTGTCCCACAGGGTTATCACGGCTGTGGGCGTTGGGAAGTAGATTGATCATCAGATCTTTCTTTCGAGGCACCTCTGGGTGGACTCTACCAAAAACCTTTAGGTTAGCAGCTGAATGTTTAACTGTTCACACCAAGCAGGGTCTCCCTCCGGATTCTATAGGAGCCTCTGATCATAAGATTGTTATCAAGGCTAGTATTGAAAAGTCTCATACAAGTTTTTGTAAACAATTTGGCATAATTATAATTCTACCACTGTTGTTATTGTTGTTATGTGCTGTGGAGTCGGATCTGACTCATAGTGACCTCTCCTTAGGTTTCCGAGCAGTTTCACTACGGAAGTATATTGCCCAACCTTCCTTCCAAGGAGTGGCTGGTGGGTTTGAACCGCCAGCCTTCTAGTTAGCAGTCAAGTGCCTTAGGCACTATTCTACTACTAAAATTGCAGATATGGCATGTCTATGAAACAAATGGGGAGCTCTGGTAGCCTAGTGCCTAAGGCATTTGAGTGCTAATCAGAAGGCTAGCAGTTCAAACCCACCAGCCACCCCTTGGAACAAGGAATATTGGGCAATCTACTTCCATAGTGATACCGCCTCGGAAACCCAAGGAGGGGTCGCTATGAGTTGGATCCAACTCAAGGACAGCGAGTGAGTGTGTGAGTGATGAAAGAAATGCGCATAGATCAAAGTCAGGTTTGATTTTTTTGTATGATATGCATTGATTATTGCATGAAGGATTTTTTTTTTATAAGACACAGATTCGTAGATTTATGATCACACCATTTCCAATTGGGTTAGGTATATATGTAAAGTAGCTTTAATGATATTCAAAGGTGCTTCATTTGTTTGGGTATCAGGTTTTGTTTGGTTTTTAAAGTCTTGTCCAGCTTGACACTAACAACTGCACCAAGAATACACACCAGTTATTGGAATTCAGTAACTTCCAACTTGCACTGCTGCTCTGCCATCCTGAGACAAGGGATTGGTGGGTTCCAAGTGCAACATACTTGGATGAAGGTTAAAAAACTAGTCCAGGCTTCTGGAAACAGTTCAAAACGTACTGCTTTTTTCCATTCTCTGATCAGATCTTTGGTTTGACCGACTTTGGAAAGTGTCATCTGCTTTCCTAAGGGTATACTTGCCCAAACTTGCACTACACATTTGTACTGAAATCCCTTTTTAAAAAATAACAAATAGAAATACTATCGTATAGTTGATACCAATAATTAACATCTTTTTTGGGGCAATGAGGTGTTCTGAATTGCTAAAATTTTTGCATAAGTGAAGGTTATCTATCCTTCCATGGGAAGCAGGTCATAGAAAGCATTTTGACATGGAATTAATATTTGACAGATTTCTCACAGAGATCACACTGAACATCCTTTAGTCTTTCTTGCTAACTTAGACATCATTCTGAGCATCAGTCACTGTGCTATGATGTAATATTTTACTATGCTGTAATTGTTCCCTCGGCTATCAAAATGGGTAGGAATGCTTCCCCCTGTAGTCAATGGCCATATGCACTGTGCTTTTCAAGTTCTGAATTTGTTGTGTCATTTTCTGTTGACTTCTGTGCTATTGGCCTCTGCATCTCAATGCTCCTAGTGACTGGGCCTCTACAAGTGTTTCCCCTTTCTTGCCTTTTGTGATTTGCTCAGGCTGGAAATCAAAGGGCAAAGCTTGTGAGAATCCTTTGTCAAAAGTCAATTCTCTGAGTGTGAGTAGGGAAACCTTTGAGCATCAAATTGCATGGGCTTGGTATCAGCACTTTAGCTAAGAGGCTTAGCCCCCTGTTGAGTTTATGGTGGTCTTCTGGAGAGCTAATTTTGCCAAAAGACAAATCTCTTGAACCACAGAATCATGTAAAGAGATCGCAAAGTTCACTTGTGATTAAAGCACTTTGTTAGTATGCTTGCCTAGTTCTCTTAAAGATAAATTATGTTGTGAGCTCATTTTTACTCAATAGGGTGGCAAGATTAGGCTTAATGAGTAGATTCCTTGCAGCAGTGATTAATGTAGCTAATGCTTGTATTTACTTGAATTCACTGTCTCCAGTTTGGGAACATTTGCTTTGCTGTTGACACTAACTGGCTCTTCCCGGCACACCACACTTTGTGTGCTCTGTGGATCACTGCAGTGCTTCTGCCTGAGAGTCTGATCAGGATGCATACAGGTGTGTCACACTCCCAGCAAACCTGCTGGGTGCAAATCCAGATTAACCCAAAGCGTGCATGAATTCTGTGTGGGGTGACTTTCAAGTAAAAATACAAAACAAAACAAAAACTCATTGCTGTGGAGTTGATTCTGGATCGTGATGACCCCACACGTTTCAGAGAGGGTTTTCAGTGGTTGTAAACTTATGGAGCTCTGGTGGCATAGTGCCTAAGGCATTTGACTGCTAA